AGTAAAACGTACTAGTTATACTAATACGATAGATAATATGTAACAATAGAAATAATACAATAAATTATACCAAAAACACGTAATTAATAATACTATGTATTATATGAAATAATTTATAATAATATTAACAACACAATATATTATTTAAAATAATACGTAATAGTACCGATAACATAATAAATTAATTTTAGAAATTTTTACCGCATAAAATAAATTTATAAATATCAAAATCATTTAAATAAATATATAATCAGATTTTTAAATCATAGAAAATTATAGAAAATCGAGAAAAATACAAATACTCTTTTAAAATAATAAATAAATATTTTAAAATACTAAAAAATTATTTTAAGTAATATCAAAATTTTACGGTCATTACATCTTTACCTTATAGATCGAAGAGATCTTGACAGTATTGGGTCGGTACACACCAGAGTACTGAACAATTTGGGCTTGAGATCCTTGAATCGGAGTAGGCCAAATAATGCTTTAAGCGCATCATTTTACAAACGCACAACAACTGAGTTGAAAAATTTTAAATTATTGCACTTTAGTTTTTTGTTCAGTTTTTGCTGTTATATATATGTATTATTCCAGATTTAACCACAGACGCCAACAATCTTAAAGCATTATTTTGATCTACCATGGATCCTATGAGGACTCATGAAGTGGACTGTCTTAAGTTAGAGAACTTTAACGGTTCTAACTTTAACGCATGGCGTTGGAAAGTATTCTTCGGGATGCAACTCCTGAAAATATACTATGTGGTTTCTGAGGAGAAACATGACTCTGAAGAAGATTCTGAATCTGAAGCCTCTTGGACTAGAGATTATCACTTCTGTAGGAGTTATCTTTTTAACTGTCTGGCCGATCATTTGGCATATGCTTACACCAACAAGCCTTATGCAAAGGAAATCCAGAATGCTCTGGAGGGCCAGTACAAGGATAAGGCGAAGCTGTCCAAATCTTACATCGTTGACAAGTTTCTGGACTTGAAGTTTGAAGATGACACTAAGGTTTTGCCTCAAGTTAAAGAGCTTAAAAAGCTTGTTATGAAACCGAAGGATGAAAAGATTAGTATTTGTCAAACCTTCATCTCTGGTGAAATTGTCAACAAACTTCCTCCATCTTGGATGTCATTCTCCACTGATATTCGAAGAAGGAAAAGGCATGTGACTTTGTCTGATTTGAAGAGGTTCATTCGGATCGAGGACGAGATTCGGACTCGTACAAAGACCGAGTTCCTTACTAAGCAGAAGGCATCTGCTAACATGGTGGCTGCTAACTTTAAAAAGGATAATAATTCATCTTTTAAGAAGATGAAGTCTTTTAACAGAAAGAAGAATCAGAATCCGAAGAACCTGAACACTCAGAAGAAGGAGTTCAAAAAGAGCGGTAAACGTTTCAACTGTGGGAAGCAATGATATTTTACCGAGGACTGCAAAGCATCAAAGAAAAAAACTACACACAATGTCAATCAAGTTGATGATTGTGTGGCTATGCTCTTCCAGGTAACAACTCCTAACAATATTTTTGGTTGGTAGTTAGATACAGGTGCTACTTGTCATGTTTGCTCTAACAGAGATCTATTCTCTTCTTATGTTGCTGCCAAAGAGAACGTAACAATAGTTGATCATTATGTGGTTCCTATTCTTGGAACTGGGACTGTAGTGCTGACTCTCTCTTTAGGGGGAAGACTCTCATATTGAAGGATGTGAAACATGTTTACTCAATTACTAAAAACTTAGTCTTTAGAAGTCTGCTATGTGATGCAGGTATGATGCTGGATTTCTAAGGAGGTAAGGCTGTATTATCCTTTAAGAAAATATAATTTGATAATGCATATCGTACTTGTTTGATAGAAAATTTGTAGTAAATAAAATAAAAGAATTTGATTTGTATTCTCTCGATCTTAATTACAATTTGAATTCCGATTACAAAAGAGAGGAGAATTGATCTGAATTCTCCCCTTTGTTTAATTATGGGTTCTTCACAGTGGCGATGGAGTGTCTCCTTCGAATGTTCACGTCGAATTTGCTCTCCGTTGATGATCCACACGTCTCAATTCACTAAAACGACTAACTTGCGTGACAAGTTTGATTAAGAACTCTTAACGAGTTTTGTAACTCAGAGCATGTTGAAAACTCTATGGAAAAAGAGTTGTTTGAACAGAATAGTCGGTTAATAACCAAGTAGATTTTCTATTGCTGAAAGATCCTCCGAGACTTGATCTTCTAGCTGCCAATCACTCTCTCTAGCTGATCTTGTAGATGATTTGATCTTCAAAATCTAGCCGAAAACTCCAACCTCCAAAAGAATCCGCCCTTAATCTCCAAGAATCCAACCAAAAAATCCAACCCTTTACTCGGTTGAGTAAGACGGTTATTTATAAGGGGTAAGGGGTGTAACTAACCCCTAAATCCTCTCCTAAGTGGGCGAAAATCCCTTAAAACGTGGGATAAACGGTTTTGAGGTCATTCAGCTTGTGTTTGAACAAGTCAAACGCCTAAATCGGCGTTATAGGCTTTAACTCAGCATCTTAGGCTTGAGTCGCAGAGTTGGGTGCTTGCTGATAACTGAAAAACGTAGAGGCCATTTGCGTTCTGGGTCTTAACTCTGCGTCTTAGACTTAAGACGCAGAGTTGGGTATCTACTGAAAATTTGAAACGCACAGGCCGGAAATGCACGGGCTGTTTGCATTTTGTTTGATCAAAGGTTGAAAATGCACGGGTTCCCTGCGTTTCAAAAACTGACACGCAAAGGTGAACTCTGTGTTTGAAAGGGGTTAGTGATTCATAACCACTTTTGTAAAGCGTTGCAAAAGACCATTGTTCAGTGATCTTCGCCTTGGCTGCTTTAGGGTGTGAAAGTCGTCAGATTGTAACTCTCACAGTTGATTATGGAGACTATTGATTAGAGCTTTTATCCGTTGTTGTGAAGATCGTCGGATTATAACCTTCATCGATCTACATAAAAGTCTTTAAATTGTAGTCTTCTGGAAGCCGTCGAATTGTAACTTCCATCATCGGTATTTAATAGGGATTAACTATATGTTGTGATTTTTAGATAGCCTACAGTACTGATGGCATGTATAAGATCAGTATTATTGCACCCAACTTAGTTATAAATATAAATAAAGTATCATATTCTGCTTACCCACTGCATTATGGCATAATAGGTTAGGACATGTAAATTATCGAAAACTGTCTAGCATGGAGAAGTTATGATTACTTTCAAAATGTAGGGGTAACAAACCTGAGAAGTGTGAAGTTTGTGTGCAAGCAAAGCTGACGAGGAAGCCCTTTTCAAGTGTTACGAGGAGCACCAATCTGTTGGATTTGATTCATTCAGATACTTGTGACTTCAAGAGCTTCGTCACTCGTGGCGATAAGAAGTACTTCATCACATTCATTGATGACCATTCTCACTTCTGCCATGTTTATCTGTTGAAATCTAAAGATGAAGCAGTCAGCAAGTTTGTCGAGTTTCAGACTTGAGTGAGAAGCATCTTGGACTGCAAGTGAAAAAACTTAGGATCGACGGAGGAGGAGGTATCGTTCTAAGGAATCGAAAGCATACTTCAAGGAGCATGGAATCATTGTTGGAACTACTGCTCTGTATTCCCTACAATATAATAGGATTGCAAAAAGAAAGAATCACACATTTACCGAGATGGTGAATTCAATGCTAATCACATCTGGTCTTCCTACCTGCTTTTGGGGAGAGGCTTTGCTGATGGCAAACTGGATTCTGAATAGAGTACCCTACTCCAAAACTGATAATACTCCTCATCAGTTATGGTTGGAATATCTAGATTCTTTGGATAGTGTCAAAATGTGGGGGTGTCTCGCATACATTCGAATTTCAGATATCAGAAGGCCTAAGCTCGGGCTAAAGGAAAACAGATGTGTGTTTCTTGGCTTTGCTGGAAATAGCAATGTGTGCAGGTGCCTGGATCTTGGAACCAACTCCATCATTGAAGCTCGGGATGCAGAATTCTTTGAGGATAAGTATATTAAAGATAAAGGCTTATTTCTCAAAGATATAGTAGAGAATGCTAGTATGTTAGATACACAAGAGGAGCCAGTTTCGCAAGAAACTAAAAGTGTCAATGATGACGGAGTTATCGAACTATCTTCCAAGCGTATCAGGAGACATAAAGATTTTGAAGACGACTTCATCACCTATAATATGGAAGGAGATTCACAGACTTTTTAAGAAACAACGCAGTCAACAGACGTTCTTCTGTGGAAAGAAACTATAGATGATGAGATGGATTCATTGATCCAAAATCATACTTGGGAGCTAGTAGATGTACCTGAAGGTGCAAGGCCTATTAGTTAAAAGTAGATCTTCAAGAAGAAGCTCCATCCTGATGGTATTATTGAAAAGTACAAAGTGAGACTAGTGGTGAAAGGATTCTCTTAGAAAGAAGGTATAGATTTTTTGATATCTATGCACCAGTTTGTAGGATCACTACCATCAGAGTGCTTATCGCATGGGCGATGATTAAAAGGTTCGTCATACATAGTATGGATGTAAAAACTGCCTTTCTCAATGGAGATCTCACAAAAAAGATCTACATAGAGAAACCAGAAGGACTTAATGCTCTAGCTGGTAAGATTTGTAAATTTATTAAATCTTTATATGGACTTAAGCAGGCACCAAAACTCTGGCATGAGAAGTTTGATGAGATTGTTCGCAATAATGGGTATGAAGTCAATGAATCTGACAAGTGTTTATACATAAAGGTCGCTAAAGAAAAGATGGTGATCATTTGCCTCTATGTGGATGATATGCTCATCATCGGGAGTGATTTGAAGATAGTAACATCTACCAAAAAATTTCTCTCGGCACAGTTCAGCATGAATGACCTTGGAACTGCGAACATGATTATCAGAATCAAAATCATATACTCTGAAGAGGGTATTGGATTATCCCAATCTTATTATGTCAAGAGTATGCTAAGGAAGTATGGATACCATGACCTGTCAGAACTATCAGTGTCGTATGATTACAATAAGAAGCTTCGACCGAATACTAGAAAATCAGTTGAGCAGCTAAGGTACTCAAAGATCATTGGGAGTCTTATGTACGCGATGAGCTGCATAAGGCCAGATATAGCATTCGATGTAGGAATGCTTAGTAGGTTCACAAGTAATACTGGAAAGTTTCATTAGGATGTTGTCCAGAGATTGATGAGATACATAAAAGGAACTACATGTCTGGGCCTATTCTACACTAGATATCAGGGTATAATCGTATGTTATTCACATGCGAGCTGGTGCTCAGAACCAGATGAGTACAGGTCTACTGGAGGTTTTGTCTTCACCATGGTGGAGCTGCCATCTCGTGGAAGTCTAAGAAGCAGACCATGATTGCACAATCATCGATGGAATCTAAATGTTTCACACTTTGTGCTGTAGGAGATAAAGTTAAGTGGCTCAGTTTTTTTCTTTAAGACCTTCCATTGACAGAATTACAAGGCGTAATTACTATCTATTATGATAAACAGGCAGCGAGTGTTGTGGCAGCAAACTCGATGTTCAATGGAAAGAAGCGGATCATTCGTCTGAAGCATGGCTATTTGAGAGAGCTCATTTGTCAAGGAGTCATCTCTGTGACTGACGTCCGATCTTCAGAGAATATGGCTGATCCTTTGACTAAAGGTCTGAAAAAGGACATAGTCGAAAGAACGTCTGCTGGAATGAGTCTCAAAGTTTTGTAAGTCTTACAAATACTTACCATGTTTATTAAGTTATTAGTTTAAAGCTTATGCTACTAATAATAAAATAATTGGTTCAAAAGTCAAGTAAGATTTGCAAAGTTTGGTGAGTCTTACAAATACTTACTATTTATATCTAGTTATTAGTTTAAAGCTTATGCTATTAATGACAAGATAAATGGTTCAAAAGTCAAGTAAGATTTACAAGTGAAAGGGTTTAAGTTTTCTTGGATTAGTCGGTGTCTAAGGCAAGGTTTGGGGGTTACGTAACGCGCTCCACAAGGAACGATGTACTTAATTGATCTTTGATCTTCCTCTAGTACTATCCTTATCTGGCTGAACTACCTGGGTAAAACTTTAATCTTTTCACCTAGGATCCTATCATGTAAAGGGGATGATTATTAAGCCTTGATGAGTCCAAAGCATTTTGGATGTGGGGTGTTAGATAGGAAACACACCTAAAAGACTCACCTAGAATCCTATCATGAGAGAGGATGACTCTTAAGCTTTAATGAGCTTAAAACATTTCGGATGCGGGATATTTGATAGGAAACATACCTAAAGAACTCACATATGCATGGATGGAGATTTGGCCGTCTCTTATGGTGTCTTGTGGAAAGATACCCAGAGCCCTAGCAGAAATCAGGACATGCACAGGGCCATAAATGTGCAAAGGTAAAGTCAATGCAAAGGCAAAGG